CTTCACTCTGTCCCTAGTTCACTGGTGATGGCTGCTGCCAATAATATGCTTAGGTCTGGTCAGGCCCATCGACTACTGCTGACTGAAAGGGAAAAAGATCAATGTTCTTGGGAAACGTTCACCCCCCCCCCCTTCCTCTTCTCTTGGTTATTAATGTGGCTAATTACCAGGAGGTCCTGACCTGTTGCCAATTCCATCTGTGGGGAAAGATGGCAACATTCTGTTCAGGATTTGCCAGATAACAGAAGGCTAGCAAATACTATTTTGATGGAGGCTCAAAATGTGGTGAAGCATACACTCAGACTTCGTTTAATGCTTCAGACTCTTCAACTAGAGCATTGACATCTGCAGTTATCTTAAAGAGATATGCATGGTTTCATCCCTCTTCATTGGGTGTGGATACCAAAATTTAAGTTGAAGATTTTCCTTATGAGGGGGGTATGGTCTTTTCAGCAGCAAGATCAGCAAACTGTTAGAGAAATTAAAGGCTACTAAATCCACTGCTCAATCACTGGGTCTTCATCCCTTGGTCAGAAGAAGATGCCGTCTTTCCTCTATCAGAGACTGGTTTGCCCTCAGTCATCTGCTTATTTTTCCTCAAATCAGAGACATCAACATCATCATCAAAAAGCTTGTTGCAGAGCCAGCACAAGAAAGTGGGCTTCCAGATACAGACATAAGACAAAACAACCTGCTCTTTCTTCTACGACTTCCTCAGCTACCAGGCCTCAGATTTAATGTGAAGATCAACAGTCATGAACCAATTAATAAGGATCCCTCCCTTCTATTATTTGGAGACAGGATAGCCCTTTTCAGTAACAATTGAAGGCTTATTAAATCAGACAAGTTAGGCTTTAGAAATTAGAGGATGGCTAGCTGTGCAGTTTGAATAACTGTCCCCTTTCAATTTCACTACCTTTCCCGTTACAAGGAGCTTTCTTGCAAGTCTGTCTTTCTTTCAGAGGTTCAAAAATTCCTTCTGACAGGTGCTGTCAAAGATGTTCCCAAATATCTTTGGCATCAGGGTTTTTATTCAGGATGCTTCCCGCTACAGGAAAAAAGATGGGAGATTCCATCCAGTTTAAAATTTGGGAAGATTGAACAAGTACATTCAGAAGTTCCAGTTTCAAATGCTAAACCTGTCTTTCATAATGCGCTCGCTTTCAACTGTGTATTGGTTCACAATTCTTGATAGAAAAGGACAGATATTTACATACTTCAATCTGGCTGAACCATCAGAAGTACCTGCGTTTTTTGATGGCCCAAGAACATTTCCAGTACAAGGTCCTGCCAGTTGGCCTTTCTGTAAAGACTCTTGGGGTTGCAGAGTATCTCTCTGTAGTAGTAGGGCATTTAAGAAAGCAGGATATTTTTGTTTTTCTCATATTTGCAGGATTGGCTGCTGAAATCCTCTGCACAAGAGGACCCGCTACTTCACATCAACTCCACAGTCTCCTTACTTACAGAGCTGGGACTGCTGTTGAGCATGAAAAAGTTGAAGCTCTGCCCAATTCAGAGACTGAATTTCATAGGTTCTATATTGGACTTGGTAACAGGAGGGGGAAGGGCTTTTCTCCAAGAGGAAAGGTCTCTGAAGGTAGAACAATATTTTTTTTGTACATCCAGCTGAGTCTGACCCAGAAGGTGATTTTCTTTCTAGATCTCATGAGCCTTCTGGCAGCAACCATTTACAGGACTCCGTGTGCTTGTCTCAGAATGAGGTCAGTGTAGCCCTGGATAGCTCAGGTTTACAGACCCAATCTGGACCGTCTCCAAATGTTTGTCATTGTGCCTAAGCATGTCCTAAATTTATTGATATGGTGGAAGACAAATCAAAAGTCTTCAGAGGAGTCTTGTTCAATCCTCCTTTGCCTTTGGTTGCGATAACCAACAGTGGCTGGGGAGCTCAGCTGGGTCATATTACAGTTTGAGGCCATTGGCTGTCTCGCAAAAAGAACTTGAATATAAATGTGTTGGAATTCACTTGGCCCTCAGATCCTTTCTTCCTCACATAGAGTGAAAGGTTGTTCAGGTAGCGATGAACAATGCAATGGCTATGTATTACATCAACAAGCAAGGAGGCACTTATTCTTACCTGAAGTGTCCCCTCTACTGTTCAAGAACAGGAAGAGACAAGCAGTCCATTTCAATCATGTTTCTGCTACACTGTGGAAAGGGTCTTCTGTTGATTCACTCTCATTAATTTAGAAAGTGGTGAAGAAAGTACATCAAAACAAGGCAGTGATGATGCAATTTCCCAGCTTGGCTGAGACAGTAGTGGTACTACTTCATCTGTCGGGCAGGATTCACAAAAGTCTCCCTTTGTCTCCAGACCAGCTGTCGCAACAACAGAGCAGGATACTCTTCATCTGACGGCTTGGGCTATTTGACTTTGACTAATATTGAATAATGCTGTTCCTCTGTGGTCCATGATTTATTGTTTAATTCAAGGAAGTTGTCCATAAGAGAGTGTTGTTTGAAATGGACTAGATTTGTCTCTTGGATGTGCTGGACAAATTTGATTCTCCGGTCTCCGCTTCCGTTCCATCTGTTTTAGAGTATTTAATGTATTTGAAGTCTGAAGGCTTATCTCATGCTGCTTTAACAGTTCATTTGGTATCTATTTCTGCTTACCATGGTTTGATTGATGGTAGATGACTGTTTGTGCATGATTTCAGTTAAACGGTTTATGAAGGGGTTGTCCAATCTGTATTCTTGTTTGAGGGATCCAGCCCTTCCATGGGATTTCCATTTGGTCTTGACCAGGCTGATGAAACCACCCCTTGAACCTTTGGCAGAGTGTTTCTTCTTTTATTTGTCTATTAAGATGGTATTTATTATAGCTAGACCATCATCCAGAAGGGTGAGTGGATTATGTGCTCCAATGGCAGATCTGCCATTTTACTATTTTTCATAAAGACAAGGTAGCTCTTAGACCTGACCCCATGTTTCTGCCAAAAGTAGTATCGGAATTTCACTTCAATCAAACTATTAATTTACTATTTTTTCCATTAGGCCTCCTGCTATTAAAGGGAAATCAGCGTTACATGTTTTAGATGCTAATAAAGTGTAGTTAATAGTGTAATATTCAGACTGTTTCCAGATTTATTAAAGAGTGTATCAGTGAATGTTGTTAATTCCTGTGCATGGTATTGTAAAATCTCATTCTACTAGAGCAGTGCCTTAAACATGTTCCTACTGCGAAAATCTGTAAGGCTGCTGCTTGGAGGTCAATCTATGCTTTTACCGAACACTACGCTTTGGATTTGACTTCAAGAGCAGGTTGCCAGAGTTGGTAGATCAGTGCTTCAACCGTTACTACTAGTTTGTTACCTCCGCCTGAGTTTTCAGCACTGCTGGGCAAACTATCCGTAAGTGGGGAGTATGCAAAGCCACTCAAAGAGGAAATAAAAGTTACTTACTTGTCACAAGAGTTCTTCGAGAGGACTATATAGTCACACTTCCCACCCACCTTCCCCTCTTTTTCAGAGTCCTACCTTGGTTCTCTGGGTTAGTGGTGGAAGGAACTGAGGTAGTATAGGGCAGACTGCCCTCTTATGTAGCTTCATTCTCAAAACATTCAGGGACGCAGAGAGAAGGGGAAGGAAGAGGCGCATGTGTGGTTTAGTGGACGCTGCTTGGAGGAGGTCTGCTCTTAGGTACCCCCAGGCTACATGTTACCCATAAGTGTGAATAGTGTGGTTATTCTTTCAAAGATTTAACTGATGTTGAGCTGGCATAACTTTTATAGCTATCACTCATAGGTTTAATTGTAATATCTCTGTTTACTGTTACAAGTTACCTACATTAAACATTTGATATAAAAGCTCTCCAAGAAACAACATTTGGAAGATGAGAAATATTGCCTTTCATTTTAAATGCACATATCAAAATGACAATTGAACAAAGAATTTGAAAACCTTATAAAAACAACAAGGAGCCACCTTAAAGACTAACAGATTTATTTGGGCATAAGCTTTCATGCTTCCCCCTCCCCCTTTTTTTCAGATGCAGTAGAGACTAACATGGCTACACCTCTGATACTTGAAAGCCTTATGAAATTGTACATCAGTTCATGTTTTTCAAATTGAGTTTTGTGTATGGTTAAGAGAAACAATGGTAGTTTTGCAAGCTGAACTTTCTCCATTGTAAGCTTCAATATAATATACAAATATCTAATTGATTATAAAATGTATTTTAATAGAACTAGTGGCTGCTTACTAATACTTCAGTTTATTTAACTTCATTTTATAAAAAGCCATTCATTTCAAAATAATATCGCATTGCTAATGTTGAAATCATGTGGAGTGAGACTTTTCGTATTGTATATGTACATGTAGGCAAACCTTTAGATTGCTGTGGAATCATTGTGACTTTTTTCCTGACATTTGAGGACTTAAGCTTGAGATTTATGTTCTATTACATCCAAAATAACTACATTAAAAAAAGATTATGAAAGTTGCAAAGGCAAGTGCTGTAAGGTTCGGAAATGCTAAAATTATATTTGCCTCCCCATTCGAGGCGTGCGCACACTTGTAGCTTAGGGTAGCGAATTTCAGTTGGATGTATTCCTGGAGATTTCATCACATGAAATAATCTTTAATTCATAGAGACAGTGTAGCTTCTGCATTAAAATCTGACAACTTCCTCTTTCATGCTGCTGTGCCAGCAGCAGGGTCAATTGAGAGCACAGGAGAGATGTCACAGCCTTGCCAAGTTTCAAGTCCCCACTACAAAGCATTGAAGTGCTAGAGCTTTTCAAAAAGAGGGTTAACAGAATTTTTTGGCTGAAATTTTCCAACCAAACTCAGTGCGAAGCAGACACCCAGCATGGAAAACTTAAGCACAAATGGTTGCAGTTTGGTAAGGTTACAAGGAACTGAAAATAGGGTCTTATAATGAGAAGTGTGGGGCAAACATCATAGCCCCGCCTATAATAAATGCAATGAAATTTGCAAAAACTAAGACAGACCTTTATTGCTGATCTGCATATTCTGTTAATACTTACTATCTTTACATATTTTTATGTAAATCAAATAAGCGGCTTTTTTTGAAAACTTCTTTTTAATAAGATGCCAAATTTGATACTTTTCATTTCCTTTTTTTGTAGTCTTGCCTGTGTCAGGATCTCCTCAAAGGAGTATTGATCAAAGAAGTACAACTTCAGCTGCCTCTGCTCCTGTAGGCATAGTAACTGTTGTCAATGGAGAGTCTAATAGCCTAGCATCATCTGTTCCTTATCCTCCTGATTCCATTGCTTCTCAGAATGAGAGTGAAGAGGATGACAATCTAAACCCAACAGAAAAGCTCCAGTAAAATGTTTTATGAATTTTATTATTTAATTAATTTGCTGTGATGAACTTAAGTGGTTCTGTATACATTTTTGTTAGGTTTTAAGTTTTTTTCCTAAGTAGCATATTTTTGAAAGACGTAGAAAGTCTGAAATAAAAACTAGTTATCTTAAGTTAGATCTTATTAGTATTATATTCTGTGAAATATCATACAGATTAATTTGGGCTTCAGAACATCTTCAAGCAAAGGTTGTTACAGATCTCAAATTATAGTAAATTTAAATATTAATTAGTTTATGTATATAAGGACATGGTAAAAATTAAAATTTGATTAAGTTTGCTGCACTTTTTTTGAGCACTGTTTAATAAAGAACTGAATGCTACATTTAGGTTTCTTAATCGAGTAGGGATATGCATATAAAGTATTCTGCTTTCATTCCAGGAAACTGAATGAAGTTCGTAAGAGATTGAATGAGTTGCGTGAGTTAGTTCATTACTATGAACAGACATCTGATATGATGACTGATGCCGTGAATGAAAACACTAAAGAGGACGACACAGGAGAATCAGAATGCGATTCTGAAAATGAGAATCCACAACCTGTTACCAATATTAGGTTACTTTTTTTATATATATTTTGTCTTAAATTTTGTGGCCTTAGTTATTGTAGGTTCTGCATAGTGAGATGGTGTGGCTAACCAGAAGTTATTAATACTTAGATTAAATTGACACTGTTTTGTGTCAGTTCATTTGAAATACCCTTCATTATGCTGATAACCTAACCTTGGCTAATACAATATTTTTCTTAATCCAGTTGATGAGTCATTTTAAAGGTCTTCCAAAAATATACAATAGCTCTAGAATGATGCACTGTGAATTAGACCCTGTGCTGATTACACCATGAAACTCCACTAAGGACTTCACGGTTAAAGTAAGCTCTTCATATAAATGTTATAAAGTTTTAAAATGGTGTTTCAAAATTAATGTTCCTGTTCAGATTTTATAGCATCAATATGTATCTCTTGATACCTATTAGAATTTCAAGATAAGACTCAGAAAGGATAAACAGGCACATTAAAAGGCCTTATAAAATCCAAATGTAGTCCCATGCATTCAATTTATCAGGCTGCTAACTCACCCTTACCTCACATAGTCCTAGATAAAGATGGGATTTGCAATGTACCTGGAAGGCTAACAAATCTAGTCTAGAGAATCAAAGTGGAAATGAATTGCAGTGTTGAGGGATGTTCATGGATATCCCCTGTCGAAGGCTTCTTCTGTTCACCTTGAAGGGGTTCCATATGTACTTGAGTGCACGGATAATCTCTCAAGTAACCAGGTCCCAAACCATGTAACATTTTATACGTTCAGACCAGCATCTTCAACTCTACTTGAAAACCTACATGGGAGATATTATTTAAAAAGAGGACTCTTTTGTGCTATAGACCATCTCCTGTCTGTGATAGATGTGGGGTGTAGGGCAGAGCTGGACTGGGGAATTTTGGTTGTCCCACTAAAGGGGAAATGGGATGTTAATGTTTGTATGTGATTGTTTTGAATGACCTTTTATCTTGGCAATTGTAGTGTTTAGCACATTAATCTAAAATGATTAAAGTTTAAAAAAAATCCATGTGCTTGTCTCTTTCAACATTTATATCTTATCCAGTTTTTTTTAAGTTTTTTAATGGGCTGAGAACCGATTTTTAATATGATGAATGTTTTCTTCTAGAAACCCCCAGGGAATTAGTAGCTGGGGTGAAATAAATAGCAATTCCAACATGCAGTGTGGAACTACTAACAGAGATGGAAGATACCTTAATACAGACTGTGAAATAAATAACCGATCTGCTGCTAACTTAAGGACTTTAAATATGTCTTCTACATTAGGTATGTTTTAAAAGATATTCAAGTATTACTGTATATAGAGCTAAAACTGATGAGTGTGTGTTTGGGAGCATGTTGTTAACTCCTTAGGCTTTCTTCCTGGTTACATGGTTTGGGAGCTTCAGATTTGCATATAAACTAAGTGTTCAACAAGGGCTTAAATGCTAGATTGGATTCCTTTCATTGAGCAGTACAGCTTCAGATCTGAAACACACTAGTCATATGAACATTTAGTGATTTTTAACAAGTTCACTAGTGTTCATCTGCAACATTAGCACTGTTTTTGCTGTTTTTCCTTCAGATTGTCGTAATAGGGACAGTGACAAAGATATTGATATATCACAAGGCGGTGATGATGAAGTGGAAGAGGACAGAGCCAGTGAAGTTTCTTTATCTAGCTGCAGAAGCAGTGTAGCTGATGCTGATGCTGGAGATGCTGAGTTTGAGCAGAAGATCAGTAGACTTATAGCTGCAAAACAAAAACTTAAACAGTTACAAAATCTTGTAGCTATGGTACAGGTACTTTTTACAAATACAATCTTATTACATGCCCATGAACATGATTTAAAAAAAAACAAATAACAAACTACTAACTCTTGAGTGTATGAACTAACTGTGTGGTTTTTTTTCCCCATTGTGCACAGACCAGACTACCAGAGTGGTAGTGCTCACTGTAAAACTTGAAAAAGGAGAATAGTTTGATTTGTCTAATATGGAGGTGGTCCATTTGAAACACAAATCTAAAATGCTCTTTAAAGCAGCAGTTATCAACCAGGGGTCTAAAGCCCCTTGGATGCCACAAGCAGGATTCAGGGGGTCTGCACAAGGCCACTGTTGGATTTGCTGGGGCACAGGGCGGAAAGCCGAAGCCCCACTACGGGCTGGTCTTCACTGCGGGGAGATAGACGCTGCTGCAATTGATGCAGCAGGGATTGATTTAGTGGGTCTAGTGAAGACCTGCTAAATCTACACCAGAGCGCTCTTGGGTCGACCCGCTACTCCAGCTCTCTGAGAAGAGTAAGGGAAGTTGACTGGAGAGCATCTCTCATCGATGCAGCGCAGTAAAGACACCGGGGTAAGTCGACCTAAGCTACGTCGACTCCAGCGACATTATTCATATAGCTGGAGTAGCGTAACTTTGGTCGACTTACCTCCCGTAGTGAAGACAAGCCCCGTGTGGGGCTGAAGCCGAGGGCCCCGAGCCCTGCCATCCAGGGCTGAAGCCGAACCCTGAGCAATTGCCCTGCTTGCTATCCTGTAATGTCAACCCTGGCTTTTATATGCAGAAAACAGTTGTTGAGGCACAGCTGGGCCGTGGAGTTTTTATAACATGTTGGTGGGACCTCAGAAAGCAGAAGGTTGAGTACCCCTGCTTCAGAGGGACTTTAAACTTAAATGTATAATATAAAAAACTTTATGAAACACCATAGATCCCTAACTGAATTGTAAAAATCTAATTTTTCAGTGTTTATGCTCTATTACTCTTGCATTTTTTTCCATCTTGGATAAATGAATATTAGTGAAATCAGCCTCACTTTCAGGTTCTGAGGTCTGCAACTTTGGCTTTCGATCACTGCAGGGGAACAGATTTTTTTTAATATTACCTGTTTCTACTGGAATTTTAAAAAAATGTATTGGTCAATATTTTCATAAAAGTTTGATGTTTTCAAATTCTTTAATTTGTGGGCCAAATAAGAATTGCCTGTGTCCCTTTAACGTTTTTAAATAGAATATTTTTCTTTCATTGGTTTTGATTGTCTCCCCAAACAATTCCTCCTCCTGACTTTCAGTTGAAACAAGATTTATTAATATAATACCCCACAAAAGGCAAAAAAAACCTGTACATCTTTTACCTTTACACAGCAAGTTAATTTAAAGATAAAAGCCTGAACAGTATTAAAAATTTGTAATTCTTACAATCTGAGAATTTAATTAAAGTGTGCGTTTTATTTCTTATGTAAGTGGAATTGTCGTAGCCAGAGAGTAGAGCTGCTGAACAGCTACTTTAAGATTCAGGGGTTTTTTTGTTCTGCTGTTCCCTGTACTCTGGTTGTGGATTTATGCTGTGCACGATCATGGTGCAAATAGTTTTAAACTGTATATTTGAATCCTTCCAACCTTTCTGACTGACAGCAGTTTAGTTAATCTGAGTACAATTATTTGCATAATCAATAACTGCATTGTGAATAAGCAGCTCTCTACTCTGGCTTCTATAACACTGGTCTACAATTTTTGAGACGTCTGCTTCAGAGATAAAATGTGCTATTTATTATGTATTTTGATGTGCTGAATTCAAATATGACAATTAAAACAATTGATTGGCTATTGTTTCTAAGATATTGAAGTTTTTACATTTTATGGCTATGTATATTATGTAGATAGTAGAGTTTTAATCATAAATCGTAAACCTTGGTCTTTTCATGTGTTTATGGTTGCTTTACATGATATTTCACCTGTCCTGTTTATGTAACACTTTAAAAATCAGCAAAGGGTTATATAAATAAAATTTAACATGAAACAAAAGGCAAAAAACTATTATGTACATAGTTTAGTCCTATTCAGTGTCTACTCAGCGCTTCTTGGCTTGTCTCTTGTATTCATTAAATGGAGCATCTCTTGTCACTGTCCAGCAATAGTCTGCAAGCATTGATGGGCTCCATTTGCCCTGATAGCGTTTCTCCATTGTTGCAACATCCTGGTGAAATCGCTCGCCGTGCTCGTCGCTCACTGCTCCGCAGTTCGGTGGAAAATATCTAGATGAGAGTGCAAAAAATGTATCTTTAGTGACATGTTGCAACCAAGGCTTTTGTATGCCTTGAGGAGGTTTTCCACCAACAACAACCTGTAGTTGTCTGCCTTGTTGTTTCCGAGAAAATTTATTA